AATAAGAGCATCATTTGAGGGTATAAAGAGAAAAAAAAATATCTACCAAATTCTGTTCGGGCTACTGTGTTTATCCCTGTAGACCTTTTCACTCCTTTTACCAGAGACTTTTGGGTCCACGCTTTTCCCCTTCTCACAATGGGATTGTGAATTTCTTTCTTTTAATTACGAGGGAACAGGTTACCAGGGTGGACAATTCCAGAAAAGCATCTCTCTTCTTTCCCCCTATTAATTTTTGCAAGGCAGTTTGAGGTGGATAGCCACTGGGCTAGGCAAAGTCATCAGCGGGGGAGGTGTTCTTGGAATGTGTAGAATGTGCATTCTTCGGATGCTTGGGAGGGTGGTTGCTCTCTTCTTGGCTTCTACCCATTTTCACTGGTTTGGCTGCTTCAGTAGGAAACAGGTATTACTTTTTTTTTTAATTAAATTTTTATTATATATATATATATATATATTATGTTATGCTAATCACCATACATTGCATTACTTTTAAACACTCAGTGGGTTCCCTAGCTCTTCATCACTGATAACTGATATTCATAGGGTTCTGAAACGGGCTTTTAGAGCAGAACTACATTTTATCCACATATGGTTTAGGTCTCTTCAATTTTTGTTTTGTTTATTCTATTTCTAAATTAAAGAATGAAGTTGAGAGAGTTATCTGGTCTTGGTTGAAGTCTTTTCGGCAATAAGCAAGACCGCATACTTAGCACTGGGAACAGACTAATAAGGCAAGACCCCTTTCAAGGAACTGGTGTGTTCATGGCTTATTCTTCATGAGCTTTTCATTTTGAGGGCCTTGATGATTAGTAAATAATGCAAATAGCCTCAGGCTATAACTTGCATTTACCTATAGTTTGCATCTATTCAGTAAAATATTTTAATTGCCATTATAAAATACCACTCTTTTCCATGGCTACTTCCTTTTTTTTCTGAAGAATAATTTAAAAACTCTGAAAAGTGAAATAAATCTTTTTATCCAGTCAACTAGTTTTTCTTTAAAAGGTTTTTAAAAACAGCAGATGAACTTCTGATCAACTCAAGCACACAGCTGTTTTCTAGAGCAGTCTCTGAGTCCCTGACTCACCGTAAGCCATCTTCATGCCATATTGCACTCCTACCCTAGTTCTTCCACTCATCCATTCTTGTTCATGTGCTTATGATAATTCTCTTGAGAATTATCTTAGGATTCCAAGTTGTATAAATGACAATGACGACAACTTTGCCGAAGCAAGCCATTTGAAACTGTCACGGATTAGGCTCTATACAGACTTCTGTTTGATACTCAAATTAATGTATAATATGAACAATAATGAAAACTAGTTGGTTTAGCAATACTATTGCAATATTTAAAATTTCATTAGTTTGCATAGGCCTTTGCCTACCTTTTTCTGAATTACAGTGGTATATACTACACATTCAGACATAAAAGGGTATTAAAAGAATATTAAAAATTGAAATAGTGCAAATGAATATGCACAATTCTTATTCCCTCGTTGGAAATCCCACGGCACAAGAATGCATTGTTCTGTCAAGGCCCTTATCACACTGTACTATAATTACTGTTTATCATCTATTTTTCTGACTAGGCAGAGAGCTTCAGGAGGTCTTAACCTATTTATCTTTGGATCTCCAGCTCTGACATAATGTCTGGCATGTAGAGGAGGCTCAGCACAAATCTGCTGAATGAAAGAATAAGTGAGGAAAGAGAATGGGCAGGATTTCCTTACTCTGACCCTCTATGGTACGTGACCTCCTATACCTCTTAGCCTGCAGGAGTCTCAGCTTCCTTATCTGTAATATGGGTGAAATAAAGAGATGTAAAGAGCTTCACAAGATACCCTGTGTATGTAAGCTATAAAGAATTACACAGGGCTTGGTTAACTTTATTTTTAATTTTTTTTTAAGATTTTATTTATTTATGTGAGAGAGAGAGAGAGAGAGCACGAGGTGGGGAGGGGCAAAGGGAGAAGCAGACTCCCCGCTGAGCAGGGAGCCGGATGTGGGGCTCAATCCCCGGACCCTGGGCTGGGAGCCCAAGGCAGACCCTTAACCAACCGAGCCACCCAGGTGCCCCAGTGCTTGGTTAACTTTAGTATATTTTAGCTCCATCAGAGCTGATCAACTTGCTATGTATAAAACTCTGGGCCAGGTAATGGGACACCCAAGCTCCTTTCCTGGTAGAGTGGAGAGTCTAGTAGGACATAATGCCAGGTAAATGGGCAACTGTAGTAACACACGTGACAAATGCTGGGCAAATAACAGGACACTGAGGAGCATGTTGGAGGGTCTTTACCACAGCCTTGGGAGTCTGGGGAGGATTCTTGGGGAATGTAGTATTTAAGACTATGCATGACAGGTAAATATTTCAGACAATGGAGGAGAAGGTGAAGAGACTAGGAAGGAAGAGTGAGAGTGTGATGTCATATGCATAACTAATCCTCAGACGTCAATGTTTAAAATGGACTGTAGCAACATCAATAAAGGAAGACATTTAAAAAATAATTTGATGGATCCAGATATCCAACAGTCAGTAAAAATAAGATGGAAAGAATGACGATGTTATGACAAGATGAGAACCTTAGGTATCTCTCTAGAAATTTTGTGTAAGGAGGGCTTCTTAAATTCCTCATGTCCTAGTGTTCTTCCAAAGACCATGTGACAATGCTTTCATAATCTTTTATGGTCCATCTGTTTCCAAATTATACAGAAAAACATCTAAGTTAAATTATATTTTTTCTTCCATCATGTAGGAAGTTTTCTCTTTGGAACTATATTTCCAAAAGTCTCCTAACTCATATAACCTTATTTATCACTTTTGTGATTTAGCAAATGCTTCTGTCAAAAAAAAAAAAAATAGCAGAATCCCAGCTCCATGATGCAAAAAAAAAAAAAAAAAAAATCTTGTTAATAATGTTCCTGAATAATTGCAAATAACTAAAGTAGTTTTAAAAATCTGAAAGCATTTTACTGTTGACTGGTTTCACTTCTCATTAATTACTGGTATTATCTGGCTTCCTTAAGGTAAAAAGAATACTCTTCACAGAAATTTTTATATTGACAGAATTAGCAATTTAATGAATGTTTGTCATATTATATTGCTACATATGATTAATTATCACATATAGGATGTCATATTAACATTTATATTTTGTATGTTTCATGCCAATACCATAAGAGTGTGAAGTCTATTTTACACGAACAAGTAAAGATTAAACCATGTACTAAGGTCAGTTGTCTTAAAACTGACTTCTTAAAGAAGTAGTGAAAAGAACACCAGCAAATCAGAAAATCTAGGTTTGATTCTTTGTGTAGCCATAAACTAGTTCTGTGGCTTGTCGTGGGACTTAACTTCTATTTTATTTAATAATTGTTTTCTTTATCCTTCTCATTTATGTTTTAAACAATGTGGAGACAATATTCGAGAGACCTTTCCATGGAGACTAGTTATAAAATAGATACTTAAAGTTTATTTAATAAGTATGGATAAATCCTAGAAATTCCAATTAAAACAAAACAACACAAAAAACCTAACACATTATCACCTTCTATTTCAGTACATGAATTCTAGACTCAGAGCCATCTCCTTGAGTACTATTTTAAATACAAACGTAAATGATACATTTTACTGAATCATTGTTTACATTATAACTAATCCTCAGACATCAATGTTTAAAATGGACTGTAGCAACACCAATAAAGGAAGACATTTAAAAAATAATTTGGTGGATCCAGATATCCAAGTTAGTCAGTAAAAATAAGATAGAAGGAATTACGATATCATGACAAGATGAGAACCTTAGGGATCTCTCTAGAAATTTTGACTATAAATATGCTTAAAAGAACAATTTTATGGGCTGAGGGGAAGATATGCGCTATAGAATGATTCCCATAATATTCATACCATAAATGAAATAGTTTACTTTGCTCAGTTTGGCCTACCTGAAATTATACATACCACTCTCCCTGAAAAGAGCATAGAGGAGAAAAATCTGGTGCCTTCCTGATTGCTGAAAGAATTGAATGCTAATTACCTTGGAGGCTAAACGTGGCTTCAAATGATATATTTATTATACGAGTTCTTATTTTTCCATCCCCAAATTTCCTAATGATAAGAAACATCCTATTTTAATCAAATTGGCTTCCATTATGCTCCTTAAGTGCAAGAGACACCCATGTGGGTCTGGAGAAAATGAGGCAATGAGATGGCAATCGAAGTTTTAGGCAACCATCGTCAGGGCAGCCCTCTAAAAATAAGTGGCCGTTTAAATGCTACCATATCTTGTTTTGCAAATCTATCCTCACACAGCAAATAATCATTTTTGGTGCAAAAGTTGGTCATAAAATTCTCCATTAGTGGTTGGTAATGGACCATAATATTACATGTTTGTAAAAAGTGCATTTGGAAAATGAAATGCTGGAAATAATGGCCATATAAGGAATATTAATATTTATATGAGATAACATCGTGGGAAGAGATTTCCTTTTTACTGTCAACTGCCCTCACAGAATATTTTCCATTTTCTTGAGGAGAAAGAGCTTTTGAAAGGCTATCATTTGTCAAGCTGTATTAGTCCTCTGCTTTGTTGTGTCCTAGCTGCTTTAATAGAAAAATGGGAGTGATTATAATTGCTAGCTTTACGATGGATGTGATGAAATAAATCAGAAAGGAGTCTTGGAATGTTAAATATATTACAGGCAAACAATATTAACCTAGGTCTAAATCAAGCTGAATGCTTACAGCAGATTTCCACCCTTCATTATTAACACACAAACCCTAAAGGGATGAATTTCAGGCAAGTCTCAAGAGAGGATCTGGCACGTGTAACTGCACTCTCAACTTCAACATAAGGTTATTTACTTTCCCAATGTGGTACCAGTCATGCGAGACGTGTGCCGTTTCCACCATGGTCAAAAACGACAAAGATGCTTTTACTCAAATAAAATGAACTGAAATCACCTAATTATACACAAAGAAATTCATTCCAAACCCTTTTTGCTCTTGTTTTAAAAGCAATTTATTTACATAAAGAAAAATACGATCATACTTTCAATGATCAACTCAGATTGGATGAATGTTGCTTTTAAGTTTCACAAAGTCATGAATAATAATAATGACTAGGAATACTATTTACTGAGCACTCACTATGAGCCAAGCCCTATTCTGCTATCTCTGTTACTTCGTTCGCCCTTTCCCGCAAACTTGCGGTGGCCTCTCTTTTCTACAGGAAGCGTCTGAGAGGCGCAGAGAAGTTAAAGAACCTGGTTAAGGCCATACATCTCACGAATGTCTCCAACTCTGACAAACTGATGCTGGCGCACACTCTGTCTCTGTTTGTTGAGGCCCCTCTCCCTTAGCAGGGAAATGAAAGACTCATTGAAGGTTATTGCTCAGTTCAAGTGCTAATTACCAAATGCTGCCTTGCATTCCTAAACCACAATCTGAAGCAGCCAGCTGTTTATTTTCAGGAATTGAAGGGGCCTTGAGCGTGAGGACTCAATGGGTGTATAGCCTGTGGTTGTTCTTGGAACTTTGCTAGAACTTAAACGGAAGAATATTAGGTTTTCCTACTCATGTGGAATAAGTATAGAATATGGTCCTAAGGCGGACCCACCCCAGCAGTGAGAAGCAAAATGATGCAATGTAAACTCTAAGATGGGAGAAAGGAAATCTTAATTCAGACCAAAACTTAGTTTCCTCATCTATACAATAATGGACCCTCATAACTTCCCTGCTTCCCCTTAGGTTATTATAGAGTAGAAACAAGGTTAACAAGCATGAAAGTTGGACGCAGAGAGCCATGAGCAACACAAAATAGGCATTATTATGAAGTCAGAGTTGAAACAATCAGTTGTTAGACAAACGAAAGGACTACTGGGTTTGATGTCAAGGGTAGATGTCCGGGAGCTTGACCAGGAAAAAATGTTACTGTTTCAGCTTCACTTCTCTCTGGGCCTGCCTCTCGGAGAGTATGCATCATTACAACTCCAGTGCAAGTTAAGTGACTGCATTGTAGAACCAGAGAGTTCCTGACTCTTACAGGGATCATCTTTATATAGACCACTCCAGGACGATCAAAAATTTTCAAGAGAGATTTTCAGTAAGTGAATCTGTAGAAAAAGATGAAGTTTGAATGAGAGTAAATAGAGTAGAGCACAAAAGCACTAACCTAGGATTCAGAACTTTGGCCAGAAGTAGACTTTCAGTTATTCCAGAAATATCCACACTGTAGGTCTACCCTGAACCAATCAATCACTGTGGATAGAACTAAACTGATCAGACAGACATCGTTTTCAACTTGGAAATTCACACGCTACTAGGGAGGCACATATTATACAATTAATTGTAAAAGATATGTTATTAAGGAGTTTGACTTCAGTTTTCTTAGTTTTTAAATAAGGGTATTGGAGTAAATGGTTGTTTAAAGCCCCCTTCACTCTTATTACCTATGACTAATTGTTTTAGAAATTGACACACTAAACAGAAAATGATACAATGCCAATGAAGACATAAGAGAGTAGAAATGCCAGAGCGCACAACTTAAACATTGTTAGTTACATATTAATGTGAATAAAGGGGATAAGCAGATCTTAAAAAATAAATGCAATTTTGCCACAAAATAAGCAACTTAAATGCTTTTAGACAGAAGGAACAAAACAAGCAAAGACTTCTGAGTTCATCTTTACCGCGTCACAATAGCTTTCACGTATTGCTTTCTATGTGACAAGCAATATATAACATAATTTAAATTATGCTATTTCTTTTAATCCTACAGGAGCTCTACGTTGTATTACTATCCTAGCTTTAGATAAAGCTAGTGGGGCTTAATGAGACAGCCCCCACAACTACAAAATGAAATGGCCACATTTTTCTCCGCTTATGTACCTTACTGCCTTCCATTCCACAACGCTGTTCATGAGCGACTTTTGGGCATGGAGCCCCAGTGTGGGTGAATATAGGGTAGTGGTGTATGGGTATGACCTGGAAAGAGATGGGACCAGGACGTGGCAGGGTAGCCAGACATGGTTTATGCTGGTTCACTGAAAACAAATTGTTAAGTTCCTTAATGTCCTGTAGAGGAATTTAAACTTTATTTAGTGTATACAAGGTAATAAATGTTTTACAAAATATGCACTAGTTTTTGAGTAGGGACTTAGAGAGAAGGGAAGGAGCTTTGGGAGGTGAAAGAAAGCCAGAGGCTTCAATGGGGGTCAATGTGAAATATTCTGAAACTGACTAAAAATCGAACTCTGATTAAAAGAATCCAATTACCTTAAAATATCCCATAATTTACTTTAAAATATCCACAGAAACCATATAATACCTCTGTTAGTTTCAAATGTGTCATTAAACAGCCAGAAAATAATAACAACATTGGGCACTACTATTTACTCATTTATTTATTAATTTGAAGAAACTGAGTTACCACTATGTGCTAAATGATGAATCAGACTCTAAAATAGAAAAATTATAGAATCATATAAGAATATTATATATATATATATATAAGAATCATATATGAACATTATTGTATGGCTAAGAACTATGTTTAGGAATAGAAAGATTAAACAAATTTGTCAGGGTCAAAAAACAGGTTAGGCAGAGAGCTGGGAATGAATGCAATTCTTAGCAACCAAAGCCCGGTCTCTTAATACATTTTATTAATAAATTCTAATAAATTGTCTCTCAGTTTGGTGAAAATGGGGAGAGGAAACAAACATTTTCTGAAAGCCCACAAAAAGCAGTTTAGCGAGATACTTTAAGTTCTCATTTACTTTTCACAAAACCACCATTCTGTGCCCATATGATCCCATAAGACAGAGGGAAAATCTTTAAGTCTCTGAAAAGACTGATTTAATGAAGGTATCAGGGTTCCAGCCTTGACTCATAAGTGACTATGTGACTTTGAAAACAATCTCCTGATCTTTACGTGCTCATGTCCTTCTGTGTAAAATAAAGGAAATGGGGCCAAGTTGACAGGACAAATTGCCTCATTAAATGAAAAGATTCATTGTGTGTGAACACGTGGACAAGCATATGTGTGCCTGGTGTGACTTGATGGGTGACGCTGAAAGTCTCCAGGTCTGTGATCCTCTGCCCAAAGCTGCAAGAATCGGAAGGAACTTGGCACTGATGAGCGTGGGGAGAAGACACAGCTGGGAAGCTTGGCTCCTGCGGGGGGCCTGAGCAAAACTGGAAAGTGTCGGAGCCACTGAGTTGGGGGCGGTCGGGATGGTGGAGCAGGAACAGGTCTGGCCGTGAGAAACAGGGATGTGACATGTGTGAACACAGTGAGGAAGTCGGTGTCACCGATTGCTAGGCGCCATGTAAAATTTTCACGGAGTCTGAGACAAACACAGACCCAGTGTAGGTTTTGTGTATGAGATTTATCTTGTGATAGCAACTGTGCTAGAAAAGCCTGTAACAAAGACTCTAAAGGAATTGACATAACAGATCATGTGCAAAGCAAGGGATGATTTACATTAACTCAGAAGTGAAATCGCTTGAACCAGGGTAGTCATTTTTGGGAAACTTTCCCTCTAGAAATCTCAAAAAAAAAAAAAAAACCCTCAAAATTTTGTCATTATTAATGCAAAGACCACTTAGAACACCAGAGAATGCACCAGGTAATGCGGCTTTGACATTACAGCACGTTTTTTTAGTCCCCTGAATTTTATGCTGATGTTATCGACTGGCTTTTGCTTATTAACCACCATTTGCTAAACTGCTTTGTTTAATCATGTGAGGTAATATAGCCTCACACTTATCTTACTTGACCCTAATGTTTAGAGGAAAACAATTTATTTCCAACTTCCTATTATTTTAATATGTTACTATATTAATGTTGCATGCTTTTCCCTGGTATTTCATATCATAAATCTTACTCTGGTTTCTTTATTAGCTTGTACTACTCCCTTATTTAATGAGAGGGTGGTATACAGGAAGAAATGGGATAAGACACTTTCTTATGGAAAATGCTACCTCAATAGAATTGCCAAATAAAAATAGGACGTTTTCTCAGATAAACGATGAAAACAACATGAACTATCAGACATAGTGATACTAAAAAATTATTCCTTGTGTACTTAAAATTCAAATTTAATTGAGCATCCCATATTTTTATTTGCTAAATCTGGCAGTTCTTTATCTCTAAAACCCATGCTTTATAATGAAACTACCTAAGCAAAGAAGATTTACCTTCCCTACACCCAACAACCATCCACCAAATCTGAGATCTACTCTGAAGGCCACAGCACTTTCAAAGCCATCAGTAAAATAATCAGCATTTGAAAATGGGCAAGTTCACTCTCTCAGTTCCTGAAATCTCTGACACCACCATAAAAGGAATAATAGGATAATAGGTGCTTAGGGCCAAGCAGGTAAAGATGCTGTTTCCTGGAGGGTATTTAGGGCCTCATCTGGGACCCAGGAATGTGATGTGGCCTTTCTGTAGATTTGCAGGACAGGATCAGAGCCCTGGTTAATGGGTATGAGGCCCTAGATGCATTATACCATTGAACTCTAGATGCCTATATAGTTGCTTCCTCTCTGGAAGTTATCCTGCTTTGAGGAATTATCCAATACCCTGACAAAGAACTGTATCCAGCCTGCAGAAAAGAGGGAAAGCGAATCAAGTTCAAAACCTCACAAACTTTTGAACCTAGTTCAGATACCTCTTATCTAGAAGATGGTCTTTGAGAACCATCTTCCCAGGTTGCCAGCATAATCCTTTTCCACCAAAAAATTAAAAAATAAAAAATAAACTCCTCCTATTACTTAGAATGAAAATAAATTACAATAAAACTATCGAATATGCTTTCACTAGACTAGCGTGGCAGACTGAATTTAGTTTCTACAGATTAAAAAATAAAAATAACTTAATCATGAAACAGAGACCCACCCAATTTTCTGTGAGAAACAAATTTAATGTCATCAATCTTATCCCACAGGCATGGTGTGTATGCACTCGCTCCGACTGAAATGGGCCTTATAAGAAAGGAATGTGTTAGGAAGAAATTACAGGACTGACCTCGCTTCCAATGGCATCACCTGACCAAGATGATGACCAAGATAGGCCAACAATGAGTATTTTAATTACACTGCAGCTAATACCTTCCAGTTTCATAGGAGCTAAAGTCTACATTTCTTCAGCTGCTCTCATCAATTTAATTAATTCAATAATTCATTCATTTATCTAGTAAATATAATGTTCTTACTTTTGGCATTTGGCTAGATATTAAAAAAGTGATTTATGTATAGTAATGGAAACAGACATTATGCAGAGAATTAAGCAATGAAAATATAAGCAGGATTACCTACACAAAAGAGAGAAGGGAAGAGAGAGGAGGGGTAGAGAGAGACAGAGAGTCACAGCAACAGAGACACAAAGAGAGAGACAGAGGTATTAAAGAGAAATGTAACAAGAAGGGCTTGTTACCCCTTTTTTACAGATGGGAAAACCAATAAGGCTCTTAAGCATTATCATTTCATTTGTATATACACAGTAGTGACAAATTGCTTATGTTTACAAAACATGAATGATATAAGGAGGAAAGGAATTAACTACAGACATATGCAGAAGGACTATAATGTCAGAAGGAAAAGGTGAGACTTCTTGTCTACCATGACCTGACAAGGAGAATATTTGAAATGTGACATATTCAAAATATATGCAGGCAGCAAAGCCACGATGATCAGGAATCCAGGGAGAGGTCTCAGAGAAAATAACCACCTCCCAGTGTTTCCTGGGGCTGGCTCTGCCCATGTAAATTCCACAGCTCTGGACATGTGGGACGTTTAATAAGCAAACAGTACACTGTACCATTTCCTATGGCAATGGTGGTCATAATAATTATATTCTTTCAACTCCTATTATCTGCTAGGTACCATGCTTGCTAAATGCCATATATATATAATATGTTCATCTTCACAAAAATCTTGCAGCACTGGTATCATAATTTTTACCTTACAGACGGAGATCACAGAGCCCTGGTGAAAAGGTCAGCTTTTGTAGTAGGGGTTGACTCAAGACTTGTTATAAATTCAGGTGTGTCTGACTCCAGGGCTAGAGTTCAATTCCCTTATTACTGGGGAGGGGGGAATAGTCCAT